TGGAGAAGGGCAGTGAAGGACATGCCACACCCTGCCCTGCTGTTTCGCCTCAGGCACCATCTGTCATGAGGAAGAAGAAAAAATGTGGGCCTCCCCCGACAACTCCTGACACCCCACAGAGAATCAATCACCTCAGAGGCAGCCCTATTCCCAGCCCCCACTGCATGCACACGGGCAGGGGGCTCAGCAGTGTTCCCTCCCCAGGCATAGCAGGGCAGCTGAAACACAGGGCCAAGGAAGGCTCACAGTTCACAGACTAAGAGCCTCTTCTGCACACTCACTCAGCCATCTTCCCCGTTTTGGCTGTGGATGGCCTCAATGCCTGAGTTTCTTCATTCTTTCCACTTGGCAAAATCCACCCTATCCTCTGAGGGTCCTTCTTGTCCACAGCCCTCTCCTGGTATTCCTTTCTAGCACTAAATCCAGAGTCTCATGGACGAGATGCTGTAAGCTGGTGAGCACCCATGGCACAGGCACCAAGGGTGCAATAACAGTCACCGAAAAGACCAAATGCCCTAAATGGAGGTATTTGTGTCCTGGCCTTCCAGGTTTCCCAGGCCCCTCCTAGGTTTCTATGTCGTCACTGTAGAAGGCAGGTGCTTCCCTTCTCCCCTTCCTCCGTTTCCTACCATTTTTTCAGGCCCCAAACCTTGGTAGAATCCACCAAGCTCACTGGTTCATATGCACTCAGTTTCTCTGAGGGGGTTTATGTGTTTGCTCTCCAGGAAGATATGAGGGCCCTTACTTGGTACTCAACCCCAAAGGAGCTGGGTGAGGCTCTCTTGCTTATCCTGGGTGATGGTTCAGCATGGAAACACAGCCATGTCCCATGGGCATTCTGTCTCTCCCTATACCCGCACTTACCAAACTGTATCATGGTGGAGAAGTGTGCTTGCCCTGCTTGGGTGGGAGGCTCCTGGAGCCAGGGCCAGGTCTAATCCACTTTTATAAGCTCAGAGCCAAGCCCAGGGCCCCCTTTAGCAATGGTCAGCTGACTGAAGTCTCTGACACCGCAGACAGGAAAGAGCAGGCCTGGGAAATGAGTTCAACTACATCAGACTGGGATGCTCATGTAGGGAAAATAAAAAGAAACAGCAGGAAGGTATTAAGTGAGCCATGGTGTCATGTACAGGTTTTCATTTTACCCCTCATTGGCTATGACTAAAATTATAAGCAAAAAAGACAACTATACCAAATCCTGGCTCCGGCTCAGAAATGATTTTGGGAAAGAGTGCCGTGAAGTGGAAAGAACGGGGGATCTGAGAGTAGGTCCTCACTATGGGCTCTGGGCAAAGAAACTTAGCTTCTCAATCAACCTCAGCAGAATTACTCTGATCTCTCAGAATCATTGTGAGCACCAAAAATGTATGCAAAATGCTTTACTAACAAGTGCTGTATCAATTTTCTCAGTAATCATAACCATGGGAAAGACAAAACAACAAGAATCTGTCAGGGGCTCTAAGCAGCCCAGGACTGTCTCAGTCTCAGTGTGTGTGTCTGCGGTGTGGAGGCAGGGAGCTGCCGAAGTCAGAGGTCTCTCCCTTCTCATGCAGAAGAACCTAGCAAGGGTGTCCAACCTTTTGGCTTCTCGGGGTCACACCGGAAGAAAAAGAATTGTCTTGGGTCGTGTATAGAAACAATAACACTAAAGATAGCTGATGAGCTACAAAAACCATTTGTGCATAAATCTCATAATGTTTTAAGAAAGTCTACATATTTGTGTTGGGCCACATTCAAAGCCATCCTGGGCTGCATGTGGCCCACAGGCCATGGGTTGGACAAGCTCTGAAAGCTTAAGCCAAATGCCAATCCACATTAGCATAAATGGCTCCTCCCACATAGTTTCCACACGCTTCCATGATCCCTATGAACAGGATCTGACACCAGGATGAAAGAACATGGGGTTTCAGAGTGCTTCTTCTAGAAAGGAAAGACACCCCCCCACCCGCACATACCATAGGGCTGGAAGGAACACCTACAGGCCCAAGGTCTGGGTGTATCTGTGGGATCTACTAGAGACAAGGGAATGGAGACAGTCTCAAATTCTAAAATGCTGGGCGCAAACATGTATACACAGGCACCTTCACCTGAGTGGGCATGGTCGACGTCAACTTTCTCTAACTAGGCAGGCAGCCTCTGGGCTCAAAGGCTGTAAACAAACCCAGTCTGTCTGGTGTCATGGGGATTCTGCTTATCCAAAATTGTGGGTCCCCAGATGGCCTGAGCCACCATGTGCCATCACAAAGGAGCAGTTGTCAGCATACATTTTGAGGCAAGAACAGGCAACTCACAGGCATCCTCACTTGAGTTCATCTGAATCAGCAGCTCTTGTTTTGCCCGAGCTGATTTGTTTACTAGTAGACAAGAATACCTCCCTTGGATCATCCTGGGGAGAGAGGCAAGGAGGAGGCAGTGAGGAAAATGCCAGGTGGTGGAGGCAGCTGAGGGCTCAGGGAGAGAAAAGAATCACTGTGGCCACCCAAAAGTTCTCTTCTATAATACAAAGTTAACAACTCCCTGTTTTGGCGCAGGCTTTATAAACCCAGCACATTCCTAACTCCATACACATTCTTCTATTAGCAATAGCTTATACTTGTTGAGCTAGATGACTTACACAGTTACTCATACTTAATCCTCACAACAAACTACGAAGAAACAACCCTTTTTACAGAGGAGAAAGCTGAGGCTCAGAAAGATGCAGCACCTGGCTGAAGGTCCACAGTGTGGCAAGTGACAGGGCTGGACTTCCAACACCAACCACTCCCACTTCAAGGCCAGAGTCTGTTCCACCACACTGATCTATCTTGAGGAACCACATAAGCAAGCTTTTTTTTTTTTAAAAAATCTGAGTGACAGTTAGAAAACAGCTGGGTCCTGAGCCCAACAGTGGCAAGAAAAGACCAGACTGACACCTGCATTTCAGGCACAGGAGGCAAACCTTGCATTAGATCTCAGAAGCAAGCTGACCGACAGACAGAAACCCCGCAGGAGCTAGCAATCACCGCAGGCCCCCGCCCAGACTCCTCAGCTCTCACCCTCAAGCAGGCAGCACCTGGTTGGGGAGGTCTGCAGCTCTCTCTCTTTCACACTGAAAAACATGCATACAACTACATAAAGTTACTCTTGTCATTCCCGAACTGGAGTTCCTGTGGAAAGAGCCCTCTCTAGACTTAAAGGCAGAACTACTGGGACCGAAACCTGTCCCTAGTATTCACTGCTGTGTGACCTTGGAGCATTCACTTAACCCCTTTGAACCCTAATTTCTTCATCTAGGGAGGCCATCCCTGTAGCAAACCTGATTTCCAGGGGTGACTAGGAAGACGAAAAAAGATGACTGCCACTGAGGCAGGGCAGGCTGAGGTGCTGCGGGCACAGCATGCAGGTACTGGGGAGCTGACTCTGGAATCTGAGAGCTGGAGACTGGCCACTCTCCTCTGAGACAGGCAGTGAGGCCAGGCAGAAATCGCTGTTCAGATCTCTCATACACCCAAATGTCTCCACAGGCTCAGCCTGACAAAAATGATGTCCAACACCTGGAGCAGATTCATTCCTCTATAACCCCTCCCTACCCACACATATACACTAGACTGAAAAGGGGAGCAAGTGATATTTTTGTATTTCTGTAATTTACCATTTGAAGTTTCCCTATATGCCAGCCAAGGTGGCTCACACCTATAATCCCAACACTTTGGGAGGCTGAGGCAGAAGGATCACTTAAGCCCAGGAGTTTGAAACCAGCCTGGGCAACAAAGTGAGACCCTGTCTCTACAAAAAATAAGAAAATTAGCCAGGTATGGTGGTACATGCCTGTAGTCCCAGCTGCTCTGGAGGCTGAGGTGGGAGGATTGCTTGAGCCCAGGAGTCTGAGGCTGCAGTGAGCTATGACCTTGTGTGACAGAGTGAGACCTAGTCTCAAAATAAATAAATAAATAAATAAATAAAATTTATTTGAGAGACAAGGTCTCACTTTGTGGCCCAGGCTGGAGTGCAGTGGTGCAATCTTGGCTCACTGCAGCCTCAGACTCCTGGGTTCAAGTGATCCTCTGCCCTTAGCCTCCCAAGCAGCTGGGACTGTATGCGTGCGCCACCATAGCCAGCTAATTATTAAATTTTTTTTTAGAGACAAGAGTCTCGCATTGTTGCCCAGTCTTGAACATGTAGGCTCCAGCAATCCTCCTGCCTTGGCCTCTCAAAGTGCTGGGATTACAGATGTGAGACACTGTGCCCAGCCAATAAAGCACCACTTTTAGCGTGTATGTCTTCTCATCAGAAAAACTTAAAATAAAGACAAAACCTGAAAACAGAGAAGACTCACCACAGATAAGATGGGGAAATGACTTTCTTTTTTGGTTGAATTTTAGAAGTTTTAAAAGAAAGCTTTCATTCAAGGGCAATCCCTTCACTTCAAGTTCTAGACATTCGCAGAATAATTTTCTTTTTTTTCTTTTCTTTTTTTGTAAATATTTAAGTTATTTTAGTGCATGCTCCGGTCCATGCAGAATCACTTAATTATCCAGCCTTCTGGTGGAAGGGCCCTATCCAAAGTCAGGGTCAGAAATAGGACAGTTCATCATGCTTGGCTTTGTTGGCCTGGTAGTTAGACAAGGTCAAGGGCTTGTTTTCATGAGGGACACAGAATAATTTTCTAAAGCTTTTTCTCATGGTACCTTTGTAATAAAGCTGTGAGGCAGGAAAAGCAGGAATCCCCTCAATTTTACATATATCAAAACAAAGGCCCTGTCCAGGTCCTATGTCAGGTGTGGCAGAGCCAAGAACTGGGACAGGTGTCCTGAGCCCAAACCAAAAGCTCTTTCCAATCTAGAGGGCTCACAGGGACCAGGAAGGAGACTCACAATGATCACTCTGTGCCCAGAGCAGGGGACATGTGGAATCCTGATGTTGACTTGGCCTCTGTTGGGGAAGTGCTACTCTAGGAGGCACATGTTGGTGGGGATGGAGGGAGGCAGGAGTAGAGAGGAGGTGAGCCCCCGTGAGTATACCTGCAGTGGTGGGCTCGGTCGGGCTTGATGCTGCAGCATTTGGGACACTTGTACACCACCTGCCCGGGCTTCAACTGTAAACTCTCGATGAATTCTTTAGTGGCATTTCCTTTGGGCACCGCCCCCTGTAGGAAAGATGATAGGTATCAGGGTTGGGCTGGGGGTTCTCTCAGCTCTAACACTCTATAGTGGGGACAGTTATTTGAAAGCAGCAACCACGCACACATATGGACAGGACATTTTGATACCAACATGTGGACTCTGTGTTCAGAATTATGCCAACATTAGGAATATTTATAGACCAAAAATTTGTCTGAGGAAACACCATTAGGCCACATGAATTCTTTGATTAATTTTCTACACTAAACACTGACATTGTTCCTGATTTTATATTTTCATTTTACTGAACTTATTTTCATTGAATCCATTCTTTCCTATATAACAGCGAGGATTTGGCTCACTGACTATTTTTTGGTCTATATTAAATTTCCTGATAACAGCTTCCCCCTTTCTGAGTTTTCATTGGTGAGCATCATTATCTAACAGTCCAGTTTCCCCAGATCAAAATTTGCAGCTTCACATTTTAATTGGTTGTTTGCTGGTATCAAGTTTGATTTTTTTATACCAGTGCTATTGTTATGAATAACTGGTAATCCCTATTTGGTTCTTAGTGAATCCACAAGCAACTGGGAGCCGCTGCCCTCAGGCATTTGACTTACTGTCTGGCCAGAGCTGCTTTCTGATTTGCCTTTCTATCTTTTGGAATATGCTTGTGAATACTTAGCATTTTAGAGCCAATGGCACAGCCAAAATGCCGTAAGATTCTGATCTGGCTATGCATCCATCCATACAGAAGGAAAACAGGCAGTGCACAGGCCTAAGCAGGGTCTTAATAACCAATAAGCCTGCTTGGTGCTGAGCCCTATGTTGTCACGCTCACTGCTATGGACTCAAGAATCAAATGAGGTCCCTGCTTCCAGGAGGCTCATAGTGTCTTGGAGGCTAACAAACAATTCTAGTAAAAGGGGTTACATGCTGTGGAAGATATTTGTGTTGAGGGAGCACAGAGAAGACAGCAGCCAATTAACCAGGGGAATCAGAGGAGTTTTAAGTAGTGATGTTCAAGGGTTGTCCCGGGGAACGTACAGAGGCTTGCTAGGTAGACCTGTGGGAGAAAAGGGATTCCAGCAGAGAAGGGCATGAGTAAAGCAAAGAGGTGAGGGTGAACACGGCATATTGGGAGACAGGGGGAATATCAGTGTGCTAAGCCATGGGTATGCAGTGTCAGCTGGGAGGCCAGGGCTGGGGCCAGGCTGTATGGTGCGCTGAATGCCAGGCTGGGATGAGATTTTTCTTTATAGGTAGTCCAGAGCCATTAGGTAACATTGGTGCCTCAGGAAGAGAGCTCAGTTGCCTGTGCTATGTGGATCAGATAAGAAAAGGGAGAGAATGAAAATCCCAGACACCACTTAGGAGGTTACTGTTGATGGTCCAGTAAGGAAAAACTGAATTATGAGGATGGAGGAGAAGTGGAGAGGAAATTCTGAGGTCTGAATCTACAAATGGTATAGGGAACCAACTTTTTATTGGGATGGTGGAGAAGGTAACGAAAAGCGAGGAGATGAGCCCCATTAATGTTTCCATTTTTAGCAGCTGTTAAGTGGTAGCAAGCTAAAGCCATTAAGAGTACAGAAGTAAGTTCTGAGAAGAACTAACCAGTTCAGTTAGGGTATGCTGTGTCTGAAGTGCCTGAGGGACACTCAGGAGGAGGTGTCCAGGAAGGTGGCTGGGAATATAGGTCCAAGAAGTAAGAGAGATCACCCAGTGGCACAGGGGGTTAGAGCTGGTTTGGAAGTCCCCTGGCCTTGCTTTAAATCTGAGTTCTACATTTGCGAGTGGTGTACCCACCGACAGCCTATCTGTGCCTTAGTTTCCTCATCAGCGAGGCAGGACTCACCTTATCTAATTCCCAGCATTACTGAGAAGGTTAAGCTAGACATAGACAACTTGTAGAAAGGGCTCAGATGATACTGCCACAGATAAAGTGCTCAGTATATGGTAGTCTGTTTTCTGGGTCTGGCGTTGGCACCAATGCTGCAGCTTAAAAAAAATTCAGATTTCAGTGCTGCCTAGACTCTAATGCAGCACTACTATTAAAAAACTACCAGGGGGTATGGCCCAGACACCTGCATTTTGTACACTCCCCAGCAGTCTTCTGCTCTAGAGCCAGGGCTGAGAACTACTGTGCTACACCAGAAACTCCATGATTGGGTCTACCTTGATCAGCACCAGATGTCCTGGCCTGGTACACAGTGTAAACACAAAGCAAAAGCTAAAAGATCCAGCAGCTTCCAGCAAAGGGGTGAAAGAAGTAGTGACGGCAGGGAGCCAAGGATGTGCCATCCTGGGAACTCTGCCTGCTTGGCCCAGCTCCCAAACAAGAACCACACCTGACACGAGGTCAAGCCATAACTATGGGATTGGCCTCGGGCCGTCGCTCTTCCTGCCATGGCGCCTGTGTCAGGTCTACTTCACACCAAGCTCCACTCCTCAGTGGGCACCCATGAGATACCACAATCAGGGATGTCAGTGCAACATTTGGACAGAAACCAAGACTGTCCCCACAGACTGAATGGGCCCAGAGTGAGTGAGAGTATGGTTTATTAGAGTGGGCAAGTTGGAGTTTCAGATAGAGCACTCTTGGTCTCTCCAGAGTAGAACTGATGGATTATAACAGGCCAAGTGAGGGGTTCCCAGGGCAGAATGGATGAAGACTGGGTGTCAGAACCTTTCCTACAAAAGAATTCTGGGAAAGAAAGAGTCACTGAAAAAACAGAAAAATCTTTCAGTGCTGGAAATGCAAGGGAGCTGGGGTTTTGTCTTTTACTAAGAAAATGACTCCAGCAGATTAAGATTCCAGCTAAGGAAACCGCCGAGACAAGTCAAGCAGCAACTCTCTCCTGAAGGTCTACACCACACTGAGCACTGTGGGAAGTTCAAAGAAGCGATGGGAGCCCAGGCCTCAAATAGCTGGTGGATGGACAGGTGCAGATGCAGTGAGGCTGCTGAGGCTAGTCAAAGGCATGGCCACCAGTGCATGGGGAGCTAAGAGGAGGCAGGACTGGGGGTGGGGATCCTTGGAAGGCCAGGAGGATCTTAGTGGATGCTATGCAGGAGAGGGGCACCTGGGAGGAAAAACAGTTCAAGCACGGACCTAGAGGTGGGGCCTATAGATCTCCTGACATCTCTGCTCTTCATGTGGCTCTTTGGGGGGTCCCAGCCCTTCCCCTGCTAGGCCTCTGCTTCTCCCACCTCAGTGAGGACCTATTCACTCCTGAGATGGGCAGCATTTCGCTACCTGTCATTCAGAGCAATGATGTGCTTCTCCACTGAGGATGAGGAACCAAGGCTCACAAGGAGCAGGAGACAAGGAGGCAATGAGAAAGTCCAAAGGACCACTTCAACACATGCAAGCGCACCTCAACGGCATAGGCTCAGACTGAGAGTGGGATGGAGATGAGGTCCTTCATACTCTTTCAGCTCTCTAAAGTGTTCCATTATCTTTTTTTTTTTTTTAAGTTAAAAAAAGCAGAAAAAAATCTGGTCTGCAAAATGTAGTCAGATGTCAGAAAAGCCTATGACAGAAAGTTTAAAAGCAAACACATTTTGGTGGGCAAGGACCTCATGGTATGCACAATGCCAGTTAGAATATAGTTTTGGACATTGGACTATTGACACAGGAAACACACACACACACGCACACACACACACACACACACACACACACACACACACACAAGAATAAGAAAAATGAAAAAAAAAAAAGAAAAAAAAATCCTAGCTACTTGGGAGGCCAAGGTGGGAGGATAGCTTGAGCCCAAGAGTTTGAGACCAGCCTGGGCAACATAGTGAGACCCTATGTAGGAGGATCACAGGTACTTTTAATTTTCTTGATTTTATTTATTAAATATTCTATTAGAAACATGTTGCGTTTGCAATAAGAAGACAATCCATTAAAAACAAGCAAAAAAAATAAAATTTAGGAAGGAATCATTCAAAGTAGGTATATGATCAACTTTCCTGAGGGTTGTAACCAAAATGCCATTATTGTCTCACCTTGAGACAGCCAACGAGCCACCAGTGAGGCACTGGTGAAGGGCCAGGGTCTAAAAGGTTTCATGAAGGCAAGGCAGAGCCCAGACAACAGGGCATGAATGGATTTCCACGAGGGCCTGGGAAGGGCACTGGCCCAGGCAGAGGACAGGGTCTCAAGCCCAAAGGGCCTTATTTTTCATTCTCTCTCTCTTTTTTTTTTTTTTTGAAACAGGGTCTTGCTCTGTTGCCCAGGCTTGAGTGCAGTGGCATGATCTTGGCTCACTGCAGCACTGACCTTCCAGGCTCAGGTGATCCTCCCACCTCAACATCCCAAGTAACTGGAACTACAGGAACGAGCCACCATGTTCAGCTAATTAAAAAAAATTTTTTTTTTAGAGATAGGGTCTCACTATGTTTCTTAGGCTGTTTCTTGAACTCTTGGACTCAAGCGATCCTCCTGTCTTGGCCTCCTCAAGTGTTGGGGTTACAGGGGCGTGAGCCAGTGGGCCCAGCCTCATTCTCTTTCATGTACAAAGTAATTGAGTTTGGGCAACTGTGTGACCTTTTGTGGATTGTAAAACCAGAAAACCACAACTAGAAGTTACTATTGTCATGTGTATAAGAGAAAAAGTGCAAAGGGACATCCTTTCACCCAAGGAGATGAAGCAACGAGGCTGAGTTTTCCTAAATTATGGGCCAGGTGATTTTTTTTGTTTGGTCCCAGTTTTTAAGAAGGTCCCAGCCACCAGAATGTACTGTGAACCCCAGCAGAGCCGGTATAAAAGACTGCAAGAGGAAACTTCTAACCCATAAAAGGCAATCAGAGCTCTCGTTTGGTATTCTCATTATGGCCTGTTATTCCAGACCATGAGTAGAGACACCATTCAGCAGCTCAGCCTTTTTAAACATGTGTCCCCTCTCATGTAACTCCATTTGCATGTATCTCCCAAAAGGCCCATCTCCATCCAGGCAGGGTCCCACCCATCCAGCCACCTGAGCCCATTTCTCAGAGCCAGAGAGCAGCTGCGCC